CAACAGATAGAGATTGGATTAGTAATAAAAATTCTTCCAACAATGAAAAACACAGGGCTTGTTGGCTTCACCACTGAATTTAACCCAACTTTTAAAGAAGAACTAATGCCAGTTCTTCTCAAATCACTCCATTGCACTGGAAGGGAGGGAACCTTTTAAAATTCATTTCATTAGGCCAGCATTATCCTGTTACCAGGGACATAACAATACAAGAAAACTATAGACCAATATCCTTGAGGGACATACATGCAAAAATCCTCCAAAAATAACTGCATATCAAATTCAGTAGCACATCCAAATAATCATAAACCATGATCAGGTCAGTTTCATTCCAGGATGCCAGTATGGTTCAACATATGCAAATCAATAAACATAGTATATCATACATAGAATAAAGGATAAGACCATATGATTTATCAATAAATGTAGAAAAAACATTTGATAAAATTCAAAATTGCTTCATGATAAAAGTCCTGAATGAATTGGTATAGAAGAATTATACCTCAACATAATAAAAGCTACACATAACATAATCAGCATCATACTGAATAAGGAGAAACAAAGCATTTCCTCTAAGAACACATCAAGGGTATCCACTCCTACTGTTTTTATTCAATATATTACTGTAAGATTTAGAGAAATTAGGCAAGAGAAAGCAATAAAAAGCATACAAACAGGATGGAAGGAACTCATGATGATTCGCTACATTGAAAAACATAAAATTGATGATGATTTGATGATAAACGTAAAGATTCCATGAAAAGACTATTAGAACTGATAAACTAACTCAGTAAATAGCAGGTATAAAATCAGTATACAAAAATCAGTAATTTTTCTAGGCACCTATAATGATTTTTTTTTTTTGTATCAGGGATTGAACTCAGGACCTCAGGCAGGCAGTGGCACCACTGAACTAAATCCCTGGCCCAGCACCTATAATGAATTTGTTGAGAAAGAAATAATAAAAGCAATCTCATTTACAATACACACACAGTACTTGGAAATAAACTAAGGAAATGAAAGACCTTCATTTATTACAAAATACTAATGAAAGACCTTGAAGAAACTAAAAGGTGGAAAGACTTCACATGTTTATGGATCAGAAGAATTAATATTGTTAAAGTGGTCATATTAACTGATTCACAGCTTCAATGCAATCCTATCAAAATATCACTGACATACTTAACAGAACTAGAAAAAAACAATCCTAAAATTCATATGGAAGCAAAAAGACTCAAAGGAGCCAAAATAGGATGATATTAGCATAAAAATAGACACAGAGATGAACAGGACAGAATAGAGAAACCAGAAATGACCCCATGAATCTACAGCCAACTGTCTTTTGACAAAGTTGCCCCCCAAAAAGATAATGTTGGAGGAGGGATGACCTCTTCAACAAATGGTGTTGGGCAACCTGGATACACACACGCAGAAGACTGAAACCTGACTCCTCACCCTGTACAAAAATAAACTAGAAATGCATGAATGACTTACTGTAAGGTCTGACACTCTGAAACTACTACTGGAAAAACATGAGGGGAACAATTCAAGATACAGTATTGGTATGGCAATGATTTTCTGACTATGACCTCAAAAGCACAGAAAACAAAAGCAAAATTTGACAAATGGGATTACATTAAACTAAAAAGCTGCTTAGCAAAAGAACTGAGTGAAAAGACAACCTACAGAATGAGAGAATATATTTTCCAGCTATTCATCTAACGGAATATATATCCAGAATATATGGACTCAAAAAACATTTAACTAGGGCCCGGGGTTTAGCTCAGTGGTTCCAGCGCCTGTGGCGCAAGCTCAAGGTCCTGAGTTCAATCCCTGGTACCAAAAATTAAAAAAAACACAAAAACATTTAACCAAAACAAGTAACCCAATTAAAAATGGGCACATGCACTGAAAAAATACAAATGGCCAATAATTATGAATAAATGCTCAATATCACTAGCCATCAGGAAACTGCAAAGCAAAACTACAGTGAGATTCTATCACACCCCTGTTAGAATGGCCATTATAAAACAACATAGCAACAAAATATGGTTGCAAGGATGTGGAGAAAAAGAAACCTTTATGCAGTGTTGGTGAGAATATAAATTTGTATAGCCATTATTGGGAACAGCATGGAAGTACCTAAAAAAAAAACACCCTGAAAACAGAACTACCATATACTTCTGCAATCCCACTCTACATATTTAAAGGAAATAAAGTAAGCATACAAAAGAGATATCTGCATTACTATCTTTATTGTGGCACTACTTACAATAGCTAAGATTAGGAATCAGCCTAGGTGTCTACCAACAGATGAATGGATAAAGAAAATATGGTGTATATATACATAATGGATTATTATTCAGCCATCAAGAAAAATGAAACCCTGTCAGTTGCAGAAAAATGGAAGGCACAGGGTGACATCATGTTAGGTGAAGTAAGGCAGACTCAAAAAAACTACCACCTCTTTCTCATATGTGGAAATTTAAAAAAAAGTTGACCTGAAAATAAAGTGATTCCTAGGGTACTGGGAGAATGACAGTGGGGGAAGGGGGCAAGGGTGGAGGTGACTGGATGTGCTGAGTGCACACTGCATGTATGGAGATAACACACTGAATCCCATTAATATGTGCAACTAATAGGTTAATGAATTTTTTAAAAGAATAATACAATTCATAGAGAACCTTAAAGAGTAAAACTGCTAATAAAATTTTTTTTATTAGCTGTTTTGCAGAAAATTGGGGAAAAGATTTCCTTTATTAAATTTCCTTAGGTCTAACCCTCACCAATCCTCAAGATGATTATCTCTAGAAGGTAATAAGTTATCAGACCTAAGAACATAATAGAGAAAAGACTAATGTAACAGTATAGAGGCAGTGAGGAGAGCTACCCTGAAAAAAAAAATCCTGTATTTAAAATAGTAGGATAGGAGAGTTTGATTTACTTATTTCTGAATAAAATCTGGATACTTCTTTATTCCTTCTTCAATCTCCCTTGTATCTGTCTTGTCCGTGGAATTCAGGCAGCACTGTTATACAACCATGGTTCTTTCCAAAGACCTAGCTAATCAACCTACCTTACTTTTGCCACTTTTTTCTCCACTTTAGGTATGTACTTTACCTACAGTCATCTTTACTCAGAAAGAAGAGACGTCCTCAGAGTCTTTTCCATTAAAAAGAAAATGTGAAGCACAGCATTCCAATGTGACATGAGAAAAGATGGGATTCAGTGGTAGCAGATACAAAACAGGAAGGATTCTGTTGGAAAAATACTACTAGAGAAAAAGCCATGACATTAAATAATTACCTTCCAAAAATCTAGGTGACAATAGTATTTTTTTCCCAAGACATACACTCTGTACACCCTGCTTCATCAAAGCTATGGATTTTATACAAGTTACATTTATATTGTGTGAAGTATGATTATTTTCCTGTAAGGATGATGAATAAGTTCAATTAAATTGAGAAACCAAACTTTATTACCTGAATTACATGTATTCTTTTTCATTTCAGAGTACTCAAACAGCAGCAGATCTATGGGAGGGAAACATCGTAAAAATAATGTTCTGCAGTTGTCTGGAACAACTTTGACACACTTTGTAGACAAACGTAATTGTCTGCAGAACTAATAACTCTATATCCACCTTAAACATTAGATTCACTTGTGAAATTAACATCTTTCAAAATCCTGTGTCTTAGCTCAGGATACTATAACAAACCCACCTAAACTGGGTGGCTTAAATAATAGTAATTTATTTCTCATGCTGGAGACTGGGAAGTCCAAGATCAAGGTGCCAGCTAATTCCTAGTGAGGGCTCTCGTTTTGGTATAGAGATGGATGCTTTTTGTGCTGTATCCTCACGCAAAGCAGAGATTCCCCTCTCTTGCGTCTTACAATGGCACTAGTCTTATTCATGAGGGCTTCACCGTAACCGCATGATTACCTTCCAAAAGCTCTACCTCCACTTTGGGGGAACACAGATTCAATGTGTAACATTCTGCACCTGGACCCTCCAAATTTATGTCCTTATCGTATGCAAAATACATTAATTTTACCCCAACAGACTTAATTCATTCCTGCATCAACTCCAAAGTTGCATCACAGTATCATCTAAATCAGGTGAAGCCAGGCATGGTTATGCACATGTATAATTCTAGCACTCAGATAGCTAAGGCAGGAGAATCACCAGGAGTTGGAGGCCAGCCTGGGATACATAGTGAGTTCAGGCCAGCTTGAACTACATAGTGAGACCCTGTCTCAAAAAAAACCAAAATCAAATCAGGTAGGTGATAGTCAAGGTAAAATTAATCTTGAGGCAAAATTCCTTTCTAGCTATGAACCTATGAAGCCAAACACGTTATATGCTTCCAAAATATAGTACAGTGGTAGGATAGGCAAAGGATAGCCATTCCTATTTCAAAAGGGAGAAAGAGTGACAGGACTGCAGTAAGTCCAAAATTTAGCAAGGCAGACTCCACGACACCTTAAGGCTCAGGAATAATCCTCTTTGGCTGGATGTTATGCCTTCAGGACCCACTGAGTCAGAGGTCCTCTCCCTAGCTCTCTGTTTGGGCCCCTAGGGCTCCAGGAAGACCATCTGACCTGCTAAAACCAAGGTCATGGCTGCCTCTTGAAACAAGATGCAATCCTGATATCTTTAAGTCATCTTTAGAGTCATTCTTCCTTTGTCTTGAATAGTGTGCATTCATGGCCAAAAAACCATGGTCTTGTCCCATAAATTCCAAGAAGTCCAGTTGCCTTCATTTTGTTTCACCTCCATCTCCTCCAATTTATGTTCCTGCTGGAATTGCTAATTAGGTCTGTAGTTAATACCCATGTTAATCTTATTAGGTACTCTACCTGCTGCACCCGTTAAGTTTTCTTTTTATTATATGTTTTCCTAACTTTTGTAATGGGGCAGACTGAGCATTTTCCAAATCTTTAAATTCTGGTGAATTTTGGTTAATAATTGTCTTCCATCTACTCCTTGCTTATCCTCTTTCACTGTAAGCACTCAAAAGGAACCAAGCCACTCTTTTAACATTTTGCTTAGTGCTCTACTCAGCTATGTACCCAATTTCATTGCTCATAAGTTTTACCTTCCACCAAACACTAGAATATAAAACAATTCAGCTAGTTTCTTTGCCATTTATAACAAAGATCCCCTTTCTTCCAATTTCCAATAAAAGGTTCCTCATTTCCATCTGATGCCTCATCAGAATGACCTTTACTATCTTTATTTCTACCAACATTCTGTTCATGATGATTTATGCATTCTCTAAGAAGGAGGCTTTGTCTCCAGCTTTCCTCAATTCTTTATCGTCCTCAACAAAATCACCTTTATCTCTAAATGGCAATATCAGTTTCTTCTATCATACATCTTTAACACTTTTCTAGCTTCTACCCATTACTTCATTTCAAAGCTGCTTCTACATTTTTATGCATTGGCTACTGCAGCACCCCACTTCTTGATATCAATCGCTATTGTAGTTTTGGCTACTGTAACAAAATCCTATGAATACTATGACTTAGATAACAGACACGAGTTTCTCACAATTCTCAAGGCTGGGAAGTCCAATCTCAAGGTGTTCCCCACTTCAGTTCCTGGTGAGGCTCTAAGATAAGAACTGATTTTCCCTGAGGTTTGCAGATGGATGTCTTCTTGCTGTATCCCCACATGGTGGAGAAAGAAATCATCTCTTATGAGATCACTATTCCCATTCATGAGGGCTCCACCCCATACTACTTACTTCTCCAAAGCCCCACCCCAAATACAATCATTTCAAGAGAAGTAAACTTTTAGCAATTAACTTCAAAAAATGTTATTAATAGCCTCTTAGTTACCATGTACCCATCACATTACAAATAAAACACAAAGAAGTTTTAGGTGTTTGCATGGATCTCAAAATCTGTTTCAAATGTATACTTTCCAAGTTGAGAGTCAGAGTGTCTGGATACTTCTGAGAGCCAAAACAAGGCTTTAAGCCCACACATTAATTTGTTAGTATATTTCTGCGTGGTATTTATCTTGGCAACTTGTGTTATAAAAACTAGCAGAAGATGACTTTTAAGGAAAATTTCCTTTTGTATATACTTAGGAACATCTGGTATATAAAAAGAGACTTCTAGTTTCTGGAGAATAAACAAAAATATCTGGAGAAAATAATTTCTTGAGATTAACAGATAACCAAAGTGGATGGTCTTATTCTTTCAGTGGCGGCCTATATCTTAGAATGTTTAGATATTACAATCTTTCAATTTTCAAATTTAGTCTAGAGGTTCCTATGAGCAGAAAAATCCTAAGACTCTTCCATTCAAGGCTGCCCAAAACAAAATATGGGGGGCTACGGAAGAGTGGTTAGAGATCCTTTTTTCAGTACTGGCAATTGAACCCAAGGCCTTTTCACTGAGCTACAATACCACCACCTAACCCATCCCTGTCCTCTTTTGAGACAAGTTCTTGCTAAGCTGCTAAATTGCCCAGGCTGGGTTTGAACTTGCACTTGTGATCACTTGCCTCAGACTCCCAGGGAACTGAAATTACAGGCATGTACCACCATGCCCAGGGAAATATCTTATTTCCTCCCTTTTGTACTCCTCTTGTCAAGGGCAGGAGGAGAGGCAGGCTTTGACAAGAAACTGGGCTGAAATGAACAATCTGAGTTTAGAAGTCCAGGCTGATTCTTTTTCCCTTCATTCACTTGGGCATTAGCAATCTGTCACTGCTGATTCAAGAATCGAAAAGGGTACTTTTTTTCAGTGTCTACTTCCTCTTCAGTCTTCTTTCTCCTAGCAACCAGTGTTTGCAAAGTCATCCAGGAACCTAAAGTCCTTCAGCCCATGAAGACCTACTGTAAACTTCCCAATTCCAGAGGCTTAGTAATATGAGGCAATGTTTTTTTTCTTTCTTTTTGTTTCTAAATCTGAGTGATCAAATCTACATTAAGCATTAAGATCCAAAGAAATAGCTTTGGATCTCAGGTTCTAGGACCTTGGTTCTAGGTGAAACTCTTCAATTTACTAGATGTGTTTACTCCATCTTAAAATAGAAAATACAGTGGTGCCTCGGTTTATGAACTTAGTTTGTTTTACAATTTTGGGGAAGACAGTTGCATTTGTGTTTGTGTGGGAAAGATGGCCATGGTCATGTTTGTCACCCAATGCGGAGTTCGTGAAAAGAAATGAAATTTTGCCAAATGCTTTTGTTTGTGAACAGAACTGTTTACAAACAGAAGCATTTGTGAACTGAGATATTACTTTATTCCTCCTTAGGGTATTGTTGCAAGAGTTAAGTCAATGTAAGCAAAAGTTTCTGATGAACTAATCTAATGGAAAATATTGGATGAATTTTAACCTCTAGCTGGTAAGAACATAAGAAAATGTATATGGGTGGGGAGTAGAGAGAAGCTGGCTTCTAGTGTAAATTTTTTACCTTTTTGTTTCCTTCAAATTCATTTCCCGCTAGCCTAACCTCTAAGAAAGTAATATATTTGGAAAACAAAACTAGTATAGCTGTTTTTAACCCAAGTGACAGGTACACTTGTTGACAACATGAAACCACAAGCCACATGGCAACACTAAAAGTCTCATGGTCCTTTTGAAGCACTAACTCTGTACTATGGCAATGATAGACACAGAGGCACATGATTTCATTGGTATAACTTTCCTTCCCAATAATCTCATACTTGTATGTATCAGTATGTTTAGAGGACTGATTAAAGACAGAGCCCTGATTAATGGCTATAGGAAGGAAGTTTAATTAGCAAACAGATAAAATTTAAAATGTTGGCTAAATCTCAAGCCATTGAGTCAAATGCAACTCTTGAGGATATTGTCGCAGACCTTTATTTACTTTAGACCACTAGTCACCCTGATTAAGAGATTTGTACTTATAAAAAAGATTGATCTTTAAAAGAAATATTTGTCATTTTTTGCCTGCCTAGTGCTCCACCAGATTTCTTCTGGGGAAACCCAGTTCAGGTGCTTTGGATGGGGCTGCCTATGCCCCTCTCTGCTCAGTGCCTTAGGAGTGGACTTATAACCCAGGCCTTGTCACTAAGAGTACTCCACCTTTCAGGGCCCAGATACTTGCTCAGACTTACAATGAAGTGACCCAGACTAAACCAGAATCCTTTCCACACTGTTCTGTCTACCTGTGGGAAAAGACACTTTTCCTTACCTTTGAGATTGCTGGCAGATATTTTGTCAACTATGTGGAGTGATTCTGAGAAGAACAAAATCTGAAAGTATCACTGGATTCACTGGACATAGCTGCACCTCCTAAGATCTACTCTTAAATCTTGATTTGAGAGTTAATATTGTTTTTTGGCTGAAGATGTTTTGAATTAACTTTGACTTGCATTCAAAAGAACAAAGAAAAGAAAATTATAGCTGTCATTAATGAATCTGACTTTACTAATATTCACTGTCATGGTTATTATTTAAATGTTACAGTACTTCCAAAAAGAGTGTCTTATC